CTATGGGTATAACCCACGGATGACTCTTTAAGTTTTTTACCCACGTGTGCATTATGTTCTTCCCTCATTTTTGCTGAATTTCTTTTTTATTTTGATTTACGCAGGCCGGATTTTTGGGTCAGTTCTTCCATGCTGTGGGCATTTTTCTTCCCCCGCCCCTGCCTCCCCTCCCCCATTTCCCTCCTTCGTGCTCCCTTCCCCCAGACACCCATCCTCTCCTCCTACCCCTCATTTAACTTCTCCGTAGGTCACTGCTCATGTATTACCTAGAGAATGAAAAGACGATGACAAGGGGCAGAGTGGGGAGTGGGGGAGGGGGAGGGGGGAAGAGACATTCGTGTCATCCAAAACGTTAACTTGCCGCATGATATTGGATTTTTGCGTTGAGTTTTCTTGCTGCCGGTTACTGGTAATCAGTTTCGTTCTTGTTTTTTTTAGGCAAAGCGAGCACGGAAGCAGATGCGATGATGAAAGCGACCATCTTAGCATTGATTCTGGCCTGAAAGGTTTGCAGAGCTTCTTTTTTTCTTTTTTTTTTATGCCGCATAGCGCCATCCAGTAACATAATTTTGCTAATGGTAAATGTGCATCTGCTGTAGATCAGCTCAAAGGCGTGCAGGATACTGAAATCCGCTTTTCGTCTGTTTTATTTCTTGTTATTGTTGATATATGCATTTTAATTATGAATTAGATCCAGAATATAGGGTAGTGGATGTTTTTTCGAGTTTCCTCATAAAAGATAAATTTTTTATTTTTATTTTGCCGAGTTATTGTAACAAACAGACGAACTAAATATTCAGTCTCAGCTTAATTATTAATTTAAATTTTAGGTTTCATCTTTTGGTATTTCTGGTGTGCTTCCTAGTCGGTTGATGTTTCCTCCTGGAATATCCTTTATAATTCTCCTTAAACCTGATAAGTAACTCGGCGTCTACTATTAAATGAATATTTACATTCGGCTTTATCTCTCTCCTTCTTTTTCTCCTTCTGTCTCCATCCTTCCCCTCCCCTGCCACTCTAGCATTTCGGGTGCCTGGTTATGTTTGTCTTTTATTTAGGAATTTAAGCATTGTGTATTTTCTTTAGAACCAATGAAATTTCGTGTTGCGCATTCGTTTCTGAGATTTGGAGTCGGTGGAAGAGTGGTTGTGCTTAATGCCCAGAATTCGGAGAACATCTTGGAAATACGTGATTTGAAGAGCCTGATCGGAGAGGACAAATTACTTCGTCTTTCAAATGCTGTCGATTCATTTCGAGGTAAAAATTTTTGAGTTATTGCGGTTGCAGAGGCGAGTTGAACAGCTGGGACCATTTCTTCATCATCATT